ATACTCCAAAGAAGGTCTGAGTGAGCTTCATAAAGCATCAAAAGTTGCTGAGGTGTGTACAGTTTTCTGGTTCAGAACAGTGTTACAAGTTCTTGAGAAGCAGCCTTTGCGAATCCAGCGGCATGATTGTGCCAAAACATATTGGTGTCCATTTTAACTTTCAACAAACTTATCAAAGCAGAAAGTGGAATTGTCTGACCTGACATTATTATATCCGGTTCGGAGATATTTATCTTCATGGAGAAAACCGATCCCCGTGTTTTTGTGGCTTAGAATTAAACCTGTTACTTTCATCCCAATTCGAAATTATTTCTAGATCCTTATTAAGATATTCAACTTCCTGCTTCTGGTGAAGATGTGCTTTCACAACAATATATTGGATTCTTGGTTTTTTCCAATAAGTCGTTGATATACAATAAAAAGAGGGGTTGGAAACAATATGGATCCCTGGAGAACACCAGCGTTAATGGTGAAAGTATCCATCGACAGTCACTTGCAGGGAACATTCTTTCAGGAAGCTGAAGAGCCATACACAAAAATGATTCTACAAGCAATAGCAACAAAGTTTGGCCAGCAAACCCTCATGCGACACACGGTCAAAGGCCTTAGAAATATCAAGCGCAACAGCTCTTGATTCTCCATATTTTTCGATTGCGTTATTCCAAATATGGGTGACAAACGATAGAAGGTCGCCTGTTGATCTTTGTTTCCAAAAACCATATTGATGATCGCTCAAGATGTTGAAGCCTTCTAAATATTTGAGGATATGGTGGTTCACGGCTTTCTCCATGATTCTTGATATCACTGGTAGCGACTAGTCTATAGTTATTTGGAAGAGTCTTCTTGCCCTTTTTGGGAATAGGCTAAACGCGAGCAATCTTTCAACACGGGAAAACCGCTCGCTTTCTTGTAAGACAGGTTGAAAAGTCTGCAAAATACTTGTGCGAGCTCATTTGCGCACTTTTTGATGAATTGACGGGAAATATTTTTTTTGTCAATACTCTTTCATATATTACTCGGAGTATGTGGTACTTTATTGGATTTTAATTTGGGATGTGAAGTTATCCTTAATAGGCAAAAAAATAGATTACCGTTGCCAAAATTAAAAAATTGTTATTTTCTATTTTTTTATTGACAATTGAAAATTATAATTTTATAAAAAATACAAAATTTTTTTCTCTAATTTTCTAAGCTGGGCTTCCTTGCTCATCTTTATGCAAAAATTGTAAAGGTGAAACATGTTCTAACAGTACAAGGCCATCACTTGATGATGACAATAATGATACTGATATCATGATCGGTCGATTAAATGCTATCGATAGTAATCTCGATGTTAATGAAGACGACATTAATGATTATATCAAGATTTTCCAGTAGGAGTTCAAGAATACTGTGAACCGATACTTGAAGAAGTCGAAGAGGAGGAGGTTCAAGGAACATCACGACAAGAAAATACAGAAGAAACCACAGATGATGAGCCACCGCCACTAAAACGATCTAAAAGGTTACAAAAAAAATTATAAAAAAACATTTAACTGTACTAAACATGATTTAATCAATTTCAAAAATAACTTTCAGTATGTTTTTGATTTAGTAAATTCCCTGAAATTTTTCTTTTTCTAATAAATAACGATCAATAATTAAATAAATAATAGGACTACAACTTTAGTAAAAGGCTTGAATTGTTAATAAATTCATAATGAACAAATAAGACTTGAAGCATATTTATCATAACTGCAATAGTTTCAAAGTTATTATAATTATAAAAGCGAAGGAGCGAATGAAAAAGACAAGTATCAAGGTATCACAATATTAAAAGTTTTATAAAAAGTAGAATAAGGTACCTATAATTT